TATCTTCAGGGTTTGTTCTGCTTACTTCCCGGATAATTCACGTGGTTTATTATATCGGTAATCATTTTAGGTAAATATGCTTCTAATATGACAGTAATGTTTCTTCTGATATTTATCTACTAACCTTTATGTTGAAGTTGTAAGAATAACACATTTGCATAAATTATTCAGTTTTGATTCTAAAGCGGCACCCTAATATTGGAAAGAAATTTCTGAGAAAAAAAAGAAGTCATTCTCATACAACAACACATTCACTTGTGTCCCTCACATACTGGCACCGCGTATTGTTTACATTAATCACTCGTCCGATTTTGTTTGTATGGCAATGACATACTAGTGAAGTACAGAAAGTCGCCCGTCGCTTCTAGTCGACAGAGAATGTTTAAGTTTGTGGTTCAGCTCCAGGAAGGTTTATAGTCTTGGAAATACTTGTAACAGCTAAGTACTGAGGTTACATCATATAAAAAACTGAATTAGATAGATAGCTAACATTATAGTGTAATGACTCAACATACAAATCCACGTCCTTATCAGTCAAGTCAATTAGGTAACCGTCCAAGCTTTACTTTTAAGGCGTTTCCTTACATTCGTCTTGAAAGATGCACACATATTTTTCAGGGTATTTTTTTAGGAAAAAAAGTGTGTCCTGCAAGAAAATATGATATTCGCATATCTTCCAGTCTGCAAATGCATCTCCTTACAGATACCTAGAAAGAGTGAAAAAGAAAATGGAATAATTATATCGTAAATAACGTTTGATTCTTTTCTATGCCTTTCTCGTTCTACCATTCACTCATTCATTAAAACTCCTTACGTAGCTTACTCGTTATTTCCCTTGCTTCTTTGTCTTCAATAGTGTGAGTATTAAATTTGCCAAGTTATCTTTCCTTATGTGGACTAATTATTTCAGTTGTCTCTTTCTGATTGCATAAGTTGCCCAGTAGCTCCTGCTTTCTTCAAGATTTTTTCCTTGCTCACATATTTTGTCCATTTTTAGCATTTATCAATAAACCCAAATTTCTATTTTTCGCGTCTGTTAGGCAATTGTCTAATATATGTCGATAGATATTACATAGCATTTCAAGACTCATCTGCGTACATGTCAAACAGGATATACTTAAAGTATTTTAAGATTTTCAAGTATTGTATAACATTGTTCTTTAAAATCTCATTTGACTCACACGTGCTGGATTCTCGACTTCAGTCACTTTCTAACCGTTGTAGTTTCACCCTGTCTTTTCGACAAATATTTTCATGGCTATTGTTCCGATGAGACCATTTCCTTGGTGCTTTGATTGTATGAATTTAGCGTGAAAATAGGTTCCACTGTTTATACTTTTGAACTCGTTAGATGCAACCGTATCTTCCATTCGAATAGTTCTGTTTTTTTTTTTTTTTTTTCACTCACTTCTCGTCTATGGTTCCGATTGTTTCCCCCTCTCTTACAATCTTCAAAAATTTAAATGCAACGCCAGTCGGCATATTCTGTCTTCCTGAATCTTCTTCTTTTACTGTCATACTAACTGTCTAAGGTTTTCTCATTCTATCTCCATTCTTAGTAAACCTCTTATGCTCTAGTGACATTATCGCCTGCTTGGAATAAGATGATTATATGTGCAATAATGTTTTTCAGTTTTAGAATATATGTGTAATACTGTTTTCCAGTATATATATATATATATATATATATATATATATATATATATATATATATATATATATGTTATTCAATAACACTTTCCGGTATTAATATCACCATTCTTTATGATCCCTTCATATAAAGTCCCTCATAAATGACATTAGGCTACTCAAACAATGTAATATTTCGAATACGTCACATTACGTGTGCTAGAAAAAGAGCCAGATGAGCAACGTACGGAGCAATTTTAATTACGGTTTAATTAGACGATATCAATTGCAACTGCGAATGAAAGCAAAATTAAAGTTAAACATTTAGTAAAGAATTGTTTCTAAATTTTTCATACTGTTCTATATTTAAAGTTAACTTTAAATAACTTATTTATTTAATGTTTAATCACGCGTAAATACAGTAGTTACTATCTGTTACTTCAGGTTGTTTAAGATTCGCCGTGACAGAAAAACGAACAGACGGACGGACGGACGGACACACGTGCAATGCGCTTTATTATTAGAGATATAGATAGAAGATTAATTTAAAGAAAAAAGTCTTCGGGGGACTTTAGGCTAATAAAAAATGATAAGGTAGTAAATAATTGATTAACACACACACACACAAAGCACACACACAAAATATATATATATATATATATATATATATATATATATATATATATATATATATATATTATATATAAAACATTTAAATCAGAGTCGGAAATTATGTACCGTTGTAAACATACTAAAAAGTTCATTTGAAGTGGGATAAAAAGAATGCATGTATATTTCATTTAATACCCCACCGATGATTTTCCTATACACTTAACTTTTCCTTCCTCTCCACCCCACCTTCTACCAAACCTCACATCGTGCACGTATTTATTTATTTTTTTATTTTTTCTTAAATATAGTGTTCATAACTTAAAAAAAATAAATCGTTAGGAAATCAATTGAACAAAATCGCCTGAAGATACCGAAAGGTTGAAACCAAGGTAGCGGAATCTGCTGATTTCCTAATGATATATATATATATATATATATATATATATATATATATATATATATATATATATAATGCTTACTAGTATTAATTTATATATATATATAATAATGTTTTCCAATATTAAGATATATATATATATATATATATATATATTTTTCCCCGTATTAATATATATATATATATATAGTATTTTCCATATTAATATATATATATATGTATTTTTTCCAATATATATATATACATTTTCCAATATATATATATATATATATATATATATATATATATATATATATATATATATATATATAAGAGTTATGCATAAATATATTCCTTTATGACAGATGCACCTATTGCTACTGCATGCATATATAAAATTAAATTTACATAAATGACAATATCCATATGTAAAAGCAAATAAACAGAGATAATGCAAATCGCACACAATATGCATGGAATAAACAGCCAGTCAATTGAACATTCGTTTTTCAACTGCTTACGCAGACAGATTCTTAGGTGAATTAAAATCGAATCTATCTCTTCATCATCCATCGTTGGTAGTCTGTAAGCCCTGCCAATGAAGCGAGCTTTCGCAGAAGGTTGACTGTGAGAAGTGTAAGGAATATATTAGCTTCAGAATATGACTGAAGGAAAAACAATTCATGACTTTTCTTTCAAAGGGCAGATGTAAGCGCCGTGGCTGTCTCGTTTTTGTAAAGGCCTACAAAGTTTGGCGAAACAGCGGCGCAGAATGCAACAATTACAGCTCTATGACGTGTGTGGGAAGCGGAGACGGAGTGAAAGCCTCATTTGCATGGCAGACCGGTCGACTAGCGGGGGTCCGATCGACGAAAATGGGAGGAACGATTGCAAATTGAATCACTTGCAATTTACAAATACTATAAGCAACAGGACTGAAATTTCCCACCATTCAATGTCTTTCATTTTTTTTCCTTCTTTTCTTGCTTCTTTTACTCCGAATCGAATTTTCTTTTATGTCATCTTATTTTCTTTGTCGTCTCCGTTTTGCTCATTGTGAATCTGCTTACTTTCTCCTTCTTTCTTTCTTTTTTTATTTATTTTCCTCTTTCTTTTCCTCTTTCTTTTCCTCTTTTTCACTCACTCTCTTTCTTTCTTTTTAAACTCTTTCTTTTTCACTCTCTTTCTGTCTTTTTTGTTCATTTTTTTTCTTTTTTCACTCTATTTCTTCTTTCACTCTCTTTTACCCTTTCTTTCACTTCCTTTCACTCTTACTTCTTTCACTCTTTCGTCTTTCATTCTCTTTCTCCTTTCACTTCTTTAATTCCCCTTTCTCTCTCTTTCTTTGTTTCTTTTCTATTATCCAGATTATTTCTTTTCTTTTTCTCAACTATTTGCTCTGTTACACATTTTACATCCTTTTCCCTCTCATCTTTATATTAATCATTTATTTTTTTTCAATCTTTCACTCCTGAAAAAAAAATGGATCTCTTTTTAATCTTATTTGTTTTGTTTGCCCTTACCTTATTCTATTGTCCTCATCTTTATCTAACTTATTTTTAACATTTCATTACTATCATTCACCCACAATGTGTTAAAACCAGTAGATCATGGCGCTATAGACTGGCGATTAAATGAAAGCAAGCCGTAATACTACAACATTCTTCTCACTCTGACTATTGACTGTATTGTCCTGACTCTTCTCATTCGTCAAAACATTTTTCTCGATTCTTTGAGGACCGTTCCCACTGATCTCCTTACAATCTTTACGATCTTTTAAATTATAATTAGAGTATTTCGTTGCCAATGAATGTATTTATTTAACTGGACTTTGGATTGTATGAGACCAAGTAGGTAATGCTAGAAGAGAAAGATTATAGCAATAAAATACTGGAAGAGTATTTTTTCTGGGCACAAATACCAATCTTTTTGATCCTTTTATAACCACTTTTTCATTTTCTTCGACATTTCCTCCGTATGTCATTCTAAAAGAATTTACCTTGACTCATTATCCTTTTATTATTTTCTTAATCGTTTCGAAGAATTCGTTATTTTCTTCATTTTCTTTCTTGCTTTTTCAAATGGTATCCATTTTTCTGCCTCTTAAGAGAGCAATAACTGTAATAATATTGTAGACAACAGCAAACATATATACTTAACTAAGTTTAACTTAGATTGAAAAAAGGCAAAAGCGTCAGTTAAGGATCGAAAGCAAGGCATTTTTTTGCTAAATCGCTTTTAGAAAATCTTGGTAACCATTGAAATCTATCGAGCGATATGACGTTTTTATATAAAATATATTTCTCCTTTTATATTTTCTTTTTTTACAATTTGCTTATCTTAATTTTCATACATTTTCATTTAAATTTTCCTTTCTTGTCAGTATTTTCTTTTTTTCTTTATTTCTTGCCTTTCTTTTTCTTTTACTCTTTCTTTTACGCCTTCATTTTCTCTTTATTTTCCTCGTTCTTTTTCTTTTTCTTTTTATTTCTTTTTCCTTTTTTCTTTGTTTCATTTTTCTATCTTTTTTTCTTTTTCTTCTTTCTTCTTTTTCTTTACATACTCTCATTTTCATCACTCATTAATTTCCTTCCTTTTTTTCTCTTCTGTTTTCATTTATTTCACATTTTGCTTCCATTTTGCTCATTCGTCTATTTCTTCATACACCTTCTATTTTTTTCATTTCTCTTTTTTTCTTCCTGAATAAGTTCAATTTCTTTTAGACAATTTTTAATTTTAATTTAATTTTCTTTTTTGCCTTCTTTTTCTTTCTCTCTTTATTTTTCTTCTTTTTCTTTTACTCTTTCTTTTAATTTTTCTCTTTTTCTTTTTGTTTCTCTTCTTTTTTTCTTGTTTTCCTTTTTCTCTCTTTTTTCTTTTTCTTTACATTCACTCATATTCATATATCCTTAATTTCATTTCTTTTTTATTTGTTTTCATTTATTTCACATTTTCCTTCCCTTTTCTCATTTTTCTACTTTTCATCCATTTTCCATTTTTCTTTTTCTTTTTCATTGCTCTTTCTTTTATTTTAGCATAAGTTTAATTTTAATTTAATTTTCTTTCTTTCCTTCTCTTTCTTTTTCTTTCTTTATTCCTTTCTTTTTTTTTTTACTGTTCCTTTTTTTTTTTATCTTTCGTTTTTTTCTATCTTTCTTTTTACATTCTTTCTTCTCTCATTTTTCTTTTGTCTTCATTTTCCTTCTTTCTTCATTTTTCTTTTTTCTTCTTTCTTCTTTTTAATGTCCTTCCTATTTTTACTTCTGTTTTCATTTATTTCACATTTTCCTTCCCTCTTGCTCATTCTTTTACTTTTTCATACAGCCTTCATTTTTCTTTTTCTTTTACATTACTTTTTCTTTTCTTTTAGAATAAGTTTAATTTTTTTTTTTTATTCTTTACGATCTTTTTTTTAATTTCTCTTCGTTTCTTCTGTTTGCACATTTTTATTTTCTGTCTCTTTAAAAATATTTTCAATCAATTTGACTTTAATCATTTTGCTGGCAACTATCTTTTCTTACGTTTCTCTTTTATCATATTTTCCAACACTTAATTTAAGTCCAATGAAAAAGGATATTTTCTTCTCCTTTCTGTTTTTACCTCACTCTCTTTACTTTTTCTGTGTTTTCTTTTTCTCCTGATAGCTGCCTTTATCTCTTTCCTCGATTTCTCTTCTATTCTTTCTAGTTTTTCTTATCATTTTTATGCCACATTTTCTTCATCTCTTTTTATTTTTTATCTAGATCTTCTTTATTGCACATATTAAATTATGCAGGTATATTTTTTTTGCGTCATCCTTTCAAATTTTTTTTTTTTTTTTTTTGCCTCTCTTATTTATTTTCAGATACTTCCGGTCTTTTAATCTGTAAATTTTTTGCATCTTCATTTCCCCCTCTTTTTTTTTCTTTCTTTCTTTCTTTCTTTCTTTCTTTCTTTCTTTCTTTCTTTCTTATTACTTTTTTCTTTTACTTTCTATTCAATTCTAAATACTTTACTGTTTACTTCTTTTTTATCACACTTTTTGCTTTTTTATTTGCTTCCCACAAATCATGCATATTTACTCTCATTCTCTGCACTCAATTCCTTTCTTTGCACCTCTCCAAAATTTTCTCAAATCCTTATTCTCGCCGCCTTACTGCGAGATATTAAATGGAAGCCATGTTGACAAAGTGTCAACACAAAAAGCGAAAAACCTTAACAATAATGACTTAAGCTGTCGTAACATTCAAGCACAGAGAGACACTGGCATTTAGAAAAATATTCACATCAAATTAGAATTTCTAAACAAGAACTGCAAAACTAAACTGATGCATTGCTCTGCAAGAGGTACACACAACTTGTTGTCCACAATTTGCAATTTTATATTTCTATTCTGTCAAACCTTTCCAATGATATTTTATTACTACTTATTTATTTAGAATACAGTATTTATTTTGAAGAGCGTATAATAATGCTAATAATGTCTTGCTGGGTTATTCAACAGGAACATCAAATATATATAGACAGAAACAAAATAATGCAATATATATATATATATATATATATATATATATATATATATATATATATATATATATATATATATATATATATATATATATGTATGTATAATATGTGTAGTAATTTTAAGCATTATACCAGTTGCAGGATGGTTTATCGCATTTTCATTTCCCTTTTATATTTGATGCATTTTTATATTTCTCAGTATTATTTGTAACATAAGTTGAATGCTGCTTTTAAGAAAATATGTTTGAATTGAAGCAAAATATTTAGAATATAGCAAATAGATTTTCTTATATTCTTATATTTCCTAAATATATACGTATCGTTACATATAATTAGAGATTTGAGTTATAAACTTATGACCAGTTTATACGTTCATATATATATATATATATATATATATATATATATATATATATATATATATATATATATATATATATATATATATATAATGCTCAGAATGCAATGCTTTCTATGTATATCCAAACTAAATGCACAGATAAACAGGGAAAAGTAACGCCGTTGGAAAGATCCTGTTTTCCGTTACAAAACACTATTCTTTCACATAAAATCACCACAAATGGCTCTGCAATTTTGACATCGATGAATACGGTACGCTCGTAAATGTAGGTAGTCACATATCGCTAACTGTGGTCACATTCACTATTTGGTCTCCTTAAATCTTCACTAAGCGTCAGCCAATGTCTCTATGATCATTTTCTCCTGCTGGGTGGCGTAGATGAACATAATAAATATATTATTTTCAATATGACCTTCATATACAAGTATGTACGTGCATATATTTATACCTATCGTTCGATATATATATATATATATATATATATATATATATATATATATATATATATATATGGGGACACATATTCGCAAAGATTCAATAGTTACGAATCATACATACACACACACGTAGAGAGAGAGAGAGAGAAGGTGGTAACAGTTTCCTTTAGCATGTCAAGTTATTAATGGCGTGCTATCGGCTTTGTGCACACACAAACACATACATACACATATGCACAGACATATTTAAAATAAAATTATTAGGAACATGAAAATAAATACTTTTGAATAGCTGCACCTTTAACCCACTCTCTCACTCACACACACACACACACACACACACACACACACACACATATATATATATATATATATATATATATATATATATATATATATATATATATATATATTTAAAGACATTTTTATGTTTAACATTCTTTTTATAGATACAAGTATTTAAGCAAATGCTCTGTTTATAATAAACAGTACTACATAATATTTGCCGGCCTGAATGTTATTTAATACTGTTTATCATAAATGTCTTTCAATAATTGTCGGACTTTGCCCATTTCATAATATATATATATATATATATATATGTATGTATGTATGTATGTATGTAATGTAAATCTATTTAACCTCAGTGAGTGGGAATAACCGCATACTACAATTTTCAAATTCGAGGAAAATGTAAAATAAAGAAAACACCAGTAACCTCCGAAGAGGACGAAAGAAATCTTCCAGTACCTTAAATTCCTGGTACAATGAAAAACACACCCAGCGAGTAATAAGTTAAAACGAAGAGTGCTCAATACACTAATTAGAGAAAAAGTAAAATAAATAAATCCTAATGAACCAGGTACTACCTCCCATGTGATGAAACCTGGGTCGGTAGTACCTAGCTCATTAGGATGGATATATATGTAATGAAATGGACAAAGTCCGACAGTTATCTTAAGACATTTTTATGTTTATACATTCTTTTTATAGATACAAATATTTAAGTAAATGCTCTGTTTATAATAAATAGTATTAAACAACATTTACCGGCCTGAATGTCAGAGAAATGTTGATAGAAAATATTCGTCCTCCGACTGGAATCGAACCTGTATCCTATACGGAACCGTCATATAGCCTGACGTGCCTTTAACCGACCGATTTGGCCAGAGAGAAGCGTTCGTTTAGCAAGGTCGATTGGATGTAAACTAATGACGTCAAACATTATGAAATGGACAAAGTCCAACAATTATTTTAAAACATTTTTTATGTTTATACATTCTTTTTATAGATACAAATATTTAAGTAAATGCTCTGTTTATAATGGACAATATTAAACAACATTTACCGGCCTGAATGAGAACGAATATTTTCTTGGCCATTTCATTTGCACCTTATATATTTTAAACCCTAATAGATTGTTTTTGTTATCTGTGTTTATCCGTAATTGCAGCACATTATTTTTCCTTCATTTTCCTCATCTTTGTTTATTTTATCACATTTTGGCTTCTCTATCCGTCATCGGTCATCCATCTTCCGGAATCTTTTGGCTTTGGTAATGTTGATCGGAATCTATCACTTTCATATCCAAAGTTATTTTTACAGAATACTAAACACAAACGGCGAAATGATAATTGCAGTGAATGTAATTCCAGACTCTACCATACTTGTTAGAAGTTTAAAGACCTACATTGAATATGGTTGGTTTGAACTCAGTGGGCTTAGATTTCTGAGAGTGATGCAGTTCCTTGAAGTTTTCATATGAAACGCGCGACTGTTCTGCCCCTGATATTGTCCGCTCTCTGATTCCGTCCTGAGTATGACGATAAATTACATCCAAGGCTTCTGATCAGAAGATTTTGAGGGTCGAGGAACCACCTCTTAATCGCTGGTGTTCCCAGGTCCACTATAACCCGGGTGGTAGCACCTGTTAGGGTCCCAGCTATGGGCAAATAGTTAACCCCGAAACTGGGGTAAAAAGACTATAAAAGTGTAAAAATAGGTTTTAATACAAGAAATACTTTGTAAAAAATTATTATCAGCAATAAATTTTTGAAGAAAAAAAAAACTATTACCAGCAATACATTTTGAAAAAAAATATTACCAACAATAGGTTTTGGAAAAGAAATATTACCAGCAATACATTTTTGGAAAAAAAATTACCAGCCCTTTTTTTTTTTTTTTTTTTTTATTACCAGTAATACATTTTTGATGAAGGGAAAATTATTACCAGAAATAGATTTTTGACAAAAACAAAATATTACCTGCAATTTGTCGGCATTAAATAACCCATTAAGGTTGATATACCGTAAAACAAAACAAATTCTCTCTGATTACTTTACGAGGGAAGAGCAACAAGCTCTCACGTGGAGAAGATAGGTAACTAGCTGACCTGTTGACATTCGTTCTCTTTCTCCTCGCTTCCCCGAAGACATAATGCCTACGATATTTTCTTTCTATGTGTCGTGTTCTTTTAGGATGTAGGCGATCATGGCTCTTCACCTCCCTCTATCCCTTGTAGCTCTCAAAAAGTTCCTTTCCTCTGCCACCTCCCCCAGACCACGTTCTGTTATCCACTTGCTTAAGGCCGCTGGGTATGACATGCGTCGTTTTTCCTTGTCTCTCTTTCCCTCTATTCGACCCGTGAGTATAAAATTCTCCAAGCTCTCCTTCCTCATTATGTGTCCCAGGAACCTTAGCTGTCTCTTCCTGGTGTGTAGTATAAACTTCCTCCTTGTTTGAATTATCTCTTAAGCCCTCATTTTTGCTCACACGCTTGGTCCATGATATCCTTAGAATCCTTCTGTAGAACCATATTTCCATTGCCTCGAGTCACTTGTCCATCTTTGAGGAAATCTTCCAACACTCGCGGCCATAAAGAAGGACAGATGTCACGTAACAACTCAATATTCTTTTCTTCGTTACCAAAGAAATCCTTCTGTCTCTCAGTACTCTGCCCAGCTTTTGGAATGCGTCCTTGGCCATCCCAATACATCTACGAATCTCTGTGTTGCATTTACCATCCTCTGTCAGAACGCTTCCCAGATATTTAAGCTTCCGCATCTGCTTGATTCTAGTGTCCCCGAACTGCAAATCGCATTTCGGGTTCATCCTTTTACTGGTGCTGTTTAATTGTAATTTATGCTTAGTCCCTTCTTCACAGTCTCCGTCGCTACCTTCTGTAAGAGATTTTGTAATTTCTTCTCCGTGCTATCAGTACTATGTCATCTCTATATCTTATATTGTTAAGATTGTGGCCGCTAATGCTAAATCCCGGTAGGTTTACTAATTCTCTCAGAATTGCCTCGCTGTATTGGTTGAACAGTTGGATGAGAAAACGCATCCTTGCCTTACACCCCTTTCTATTTTTGTATATTCGCTGAACTCGTTCCCTCTGCGCATGCATGCTGTTGGCTGCCAGTATAGATTCTTGATTATTCTGATATCTTTCTCGGATATTTCAAAGTTGTTGAGCAGTTCCAGCAGATCCTTGTGGCCTACGATATACCGACCTGAAATAAATCGCGCAAAAAGAAACATGAAGAAAATTGTTGTAGATTGAGTCCGTTGGTGTATCGTTGGTATACCCATTGCGAAATTGTTCATAGATCACAAGGAATTAAAGATGACGCGTAAAGCAAACTTTTGCTGTACTTATTTGTTTCCGATCATATCAGGTGAACTTCCGCGGTCTTTTCAGAATTAAACTAATGGCAAAATTAACAACCACGTTCATCTACGATGCCTATTCTGTTTAATATCAAGGATGGAGAATACACTTGGTCAAAACGTTATGATGAAAACAACAAATAATAGGAAAATAACGATGTTTAATATGTAAATCA